TAAGACATAAGAAGCCTAATAGTGACATCCGTAGGCGAAAGCAAATGAGGAGACAGATTTTAGGAGGACAGATTATGTTGCATTGGGTCTTGTGTTCAACTGGAAGCGTGCGTGGTCTGAAAATCCCCAGCTGACCACACTGTATAAGGTTAGTTCTTTTTGAGTTTCCTGATTATGAATAGATATTGTGTGACCACAGAGTATAAGGGAAATCTGCTTGAGACCAGTCAAACATAGTCTTTCGGTATGTTTGAGTTTTTGTTTTTTTGTTTTCGAATCCGACTAAATCCCTGTTGCAGGCATCGGAATGCCGAAAGCGGTGGGAGTGTGGTATTTTTGGGGCCAACCTTCTTATAAGGAAGGCAGCATCACCATGGCACTGCTGGTCATCCAAGAGAAACACCTCACTTTTGTCACACCCCAACCAGCTAGCAGCAGTATGAAGTCACCCTCAAATCCTAATCACAGTGTGGTAATCTACACTGCAATTATAACTGCTTTTTGTCTGAACACTATCTAACAGACCTTCCTAATGTGAGAGGACCTCGAGGGAACAAGCATTCCACCAGCATATCTCGCTGGGTCATTGTAACATACAAGCTCGTCAAACGTGGTAGGAACTGTCGCCTGGGGAAACTGGATCCCAATGGGAAGCCGTCTGGATGCTGCCCGACTGATTAGATCTGTAAGAGCTTCGAAGAGTCACAAGACTCTCCAACTACGCATTCATAATCCCCTCTTAAGCGTTCACCGACCACAGTTTCGACTAAAGATAGATGAATTCTATCAAAAGCTGTCAATTTCTCTAGATTAATCAAAACATTCATATATAGTCATCATGGGAAAAGACTTCAAGTCGAAAAGGCATTTTGAAACTACCTACGAAATCCCATGCCAACTAACCGACAGCGGTAATCATCTCTTTCGATTCTAGATCTGACAATCACTTGTTTTCCGATCAACAGTGACTTCTCAATTCGTGCCCTCTGACATTTGGTCAACGGCAGACACATACAGATAATATAGCAATAAGCTATTGTTGGGGAGAATAAGTGGAAGATTCCCGCTCATCCTGGAGTACCTGCTTGGACTGGGATCACGCTTTAGTACCGCTAAGTGAATATTTTCACCATACTAATCTCAGGAAACATACGGGAGTTTAGTCTTTGTGCGTTCTGCCGGAAGATGAGAACAACTAGCTCGTATTTGTGATGAAGGTAGCTAAGCATTCATCTGAACACAGTAGCAATTCCCCTCCTGATGAAACACAGTGTGATGGTTAGTCTGCTGTAGAAACAATGGTAAAAAAACCAATTACCTACACCAAAATTGTCCACTACCCTAATAGAACTGTTTGATACGGAAAGATGTATTCCAACCGGCAGTGATCACAATGAAGAGCAAAAGAAGTTTAGACCGAAATTAACTAAGGGATTCGCAGTGATAGGGTGTGGCGAAAGAGATGGAGAAGGCATCAGCATTAGGTAATACCTGGCAATCACTTACGCCTATTAGGGATACCGGCAAGAAGAAATGCAACTGGCACATGGCCACGTTTCGGTAACCCAAAATCCAGCCCGAACCTGAATGGGATCTAGATGTCGATCCTACAATTCATAATGAAGTTGAGAAGACTGCTTCAAACCGTAAGTGGTACACAAAGCAACATGACCCGAATCTTTTAAGGAAGGGTAGGGAACTATTGAACCGAGTAGCGGACTTACTGGATAGTGTACGGGAACCAGAGATAGTCGTGCCGGACAGGTCTACTTCACTAATCATTACAGTCTGCAAGAAAGGAGAGGTCTTCTCGTGACAACCATAGGTGAATCAGTTTGACTGATAGAATATCCAAAAACCTAGGCTTCATAGTCAACGCCTGACTGAGCCTCAAGAACAGCAAACCCCAGTAAACCAAACAGGTTTCAGAACTAGACGAGAGTAAACCGATCAGATTTTCATCCGCCGACAGGTTTTGTAACATAGGCATACTTACTGACACCCGACAGGGTATGGTGCAAGCATGTAGTAATGATCAAAGTTCTCTACTCAAAATCACCAAGTCGCGCAAAGGCTTGCGTGAACTGACAACCAGCAGTTCTGTTCATCAGGGATGTTAGCTGTCATTGTTTTTGTTAAACCTTTTTGTACTCTCGTTAATGTACATTACCTTAGGAACTGACTTCTTAAAGGGAATCAAGTTGTCTTCGAGTACGAAAATATACAATTTTCAAAACGTCTCGAGAAGAAATCTGAGTATGTTTGGTATGTGTTTCCCACCTATCAAATGTAAGATCATACTTCACAACTGGTTGATGACAGAATTCATCCTTGGTTGCATCCAGGCTGCAATCCGTCGAAGCATAGGCAGAGATGGCTAAGAGACATCGTTTCTCTTGCCGGTTACTTTTTGCTCGAGTTAGACCTTCTAGACTAACACCATATAAACGACTGGTAATAGGAAACCAGTCGAGCAGTCCAGCTTATGGTCGAGCGCTTAGTGCGACACCTACACCAGCAACGCCGGTCGCCGATGCCACAGAGTCTCCGGATAAGCGCATATGAGACATACTTTCCGAGCTGAAGGGTGGGGAGCTAATTTGAAGCACTTCACTGGAATTTTATATGTGGGTATCTGGGATGCAGCATAGATCAATAGCAAGGCTTTCCAGAATCCAAGCCAAACCTTCCTGTTGTCCGATCTATATCAAAGTGAGAACGTTGAAGATGGAGAGCATTGACAGTATGTGTGGTTTCAGGATAGCTGTGTCAGATGTCGTACTGGAGGACATCTTTATGGGAGTAAATGTTTAGCGACTCAAAACAGTGCAGACACACCAGAAGTCTAAGCAATGGAAAGCAGACGCGTGAAGTGAAGATAAAGACAAAAGAGAAATGACAATGCTAAAAAAATACAGTTCATATGCAAAAACAGCAAGAACAATATAATAGCTAACCGGGACAAATAATGAGTCTCGGATAATCAGCTGGTTGCGTTCCTACTTCTCAGAAAGGAAACAACATACCGTTCACAGAGGCAAGCGCTCCACCTCATTGTTTACTGTCACTGGTGTTCCCCAAGGAGCTGTCCTTTCTCTTTTTCCGTATGACTAACTACCTGCAGCTGGTATCAATTTCATTAAATATCCTGATGACCTAACAGTTTCCACACCTATCTCCTCTTCAGCAGATTGTTCACAACCGAATGATTTCCCACCTACTGTTAGACGATGGTCCTCAAAGGATGGTGATAGGCTTAATTCTTCAAAATGTCAGACCATAAACTTTAGTTTTAGACGTGAACATAACCTATGTAAACTCCTTAGTTCTCATGATTCCTGTTCTATTGATAGTTATGCACTAGAGAATGTTACAAGTGTGATTTATCTCGGCGTGTGATTTTATTTGGACCTTTCTTGATCCTGCCATATCTTACTAATTTCCAAAAGAATTTTCCCCCAGACTTTCTACATTAGGAAGCTAAGAGTATCTGGTATAACTCAGCCTCTTTTCTGACGCTTTATAAACTCCCGCATCTCGTCCGTTCTCCTCTATTGTTCCCTTTTGTTTTTTCCCGGATTGCTAAAAAAAGACTATGCTACGTTGCGTAGAACTTTGAAGATTGTCAGCAGAACTAGTGGTGTACCTCTAAACCTTCTAGTTAAAACAGTGAACATCTGGCAGTAGTAATTTTATCAGATGACCAGCATCCTTCTCACTAAAGCTCTCTGCATGTCGGTCATCTGGAAAAACAAGGAACAAGCATATAGGACTTAATGCACGTGCTACAAAATATAAAAACTCTACAATACTGTATTTAGGTCGTCTGCTGTGCGATGAAGAAAGTATTAGAAATGAACTAACTAATCAACTTCTGTTTTTGAAAACAAACTAATTGATGATGAGCATGTTATTATTTACTTATTATGAATCGAATTACTAATGTAACTTTCTACCTAAGTTAAATGCACATTTTTAAGAACGGTGTAGATAGAGTGAATATTCTTATCTTTTTTAAATATGTAATCTATACTCGTTTCATTTTGATACGTATACAAGTACACTGTCTCTGTCCACTGATGCTATATGACATGCTGAAAATCTTGTAGAGTAGTATTCTCAAAATAGATCTCAGTAAAAAAGCCATTATTATTATTATTATTATTATTATTATTATTATATCTGAAGTAGATAATAGATCTCTTAACAATGCTAGAATACTTTTATCATATAGCCGATCTGAACACCATGGGTTCTGACACAATATCTAGAGAATTTGTGCTGCCGAAGAAGCTTATGAATGAATTTTACGCGGAAATCTTTCTAAAGCATAATAAAAATGAAGTATGTCATCTTTACTGATAAAAATCTTGTAAGTTTTTGCTTGAAAAATACTGACACATCTAAGTACATACCTCTACGAATATCTTCATCTGCAACTTCCCTACAAATGATTAATTCATACGCATTTCGCCTCCTAACCACTGACAGATCGTCAGACAACACTTTCCATTCAAGAAACCAATTAGGTCAGATGAAAGCAGGGAAATTCAGTGCAATCAACTTTTACGAGAAGTATACATACTGACACTTCACATCTGAGCACATACTTCTAAGAATATCTTCAAGTGTACATACCGTTTAAAAAACAATTGAACTATCTCCAGCTTGAATGATACATTCAAAAGATCCACATATACAACACACAACTGCAAACACAAAATATGCAACTGAGATTACGTTTATTTTGTGCTGGTTACAATCCATAACATAATTTTACTGACAAAACATAGGAAAAGCAAAAAATAAGCGGTGTGACAAAAGAATGTCTAAACACTGATTTGTGAATACAGTTTTACAGATGTAAATGCTTAAATAACTCAAAGTGCATGGATTATTTTGTGAATAAGAACTAGTGAAAAATGTGGAAAACTAAAAAGAAATCAAAATAGCTATTACATCGTAGGCTTATTTCTCTGTAGGTGATATGTTAAAAAACACTAACAACCATAATGGTATTCCCGTAATAATTCTGTAGGGGGTTTATTCGTCTCAAGATATATAGAGTACAAACGTCTAAGTACACGGAATGCAGCCACATTAGCGTAAGGAGTTAACGTTAAAGGATCTAGGTAACGAGCAGGTAGACCAGTAATGGGGCACACACGTCCACGACGTTTTGGACGAACAGGAAAAGGAGCAGGAAAACCGGGTTCAGGCAGTGGAGTTATCGTCTCAGGCATTGAAGCATAAAAACATATATCATTAGCAAATGTAATCAGATTTCGTGAACATTTGGCTGAAGGGTTTGTAATTATAGGACCAACTCGAAAAGTTGCTCTGTAAACCAAACACATAACAAAGTGAAGTTAATTAGAAATGCACTTTACGATTAGCTGAATGGCACCAAAGAATATATATATCATATACCACATGCATAAAATCTCTTTAGCGAACTAAAAGGGTGTACCTCACACACATAAAATGCTTCAAAAAGTCCATACACATTCTGTAGTAGGAAAATGCAAAGAAGTCATGAATACTAGTGAATACTAGGTTCTACTTCACTACAACAACCTCGCCTAGTTAACTAGTTTACTAGTTACTATCCGGTTCTAAGCCTTGATTAGGAGGGAAGGTTGAGCGTTGGGCTAGCAACCCTACCCCGGAAAACCAATCCAACAGATAAACAAACTTCAAAACACAAAGAAAATAAACTTATTTCTCGCTGGAATCGAGGGAACGAAATGACGCAAGGTGGTGAAAGCCTTCAGGAAGCCTATTGGCCGATGTGTCTTCTCTTCTCTCGATGAAAGCGAAAGTAAACGTGGGGACATGGAATGTCCGCACTATGTTTGAACCTAGCAAGGCTACACAGATTGCAAAGGAGGTGAAAAGGTATAGCATAGAAGTACCAGGAATCTGCAAAGGCAGATGGAATGGAAGTGGACTCTCCAAACTGTCAACTAGAGAATCAATAATCTACTCCGATCACCCAGACGACAACCACGAGCACACTGAGCTTCGGAGTGGCAAACATGATGTATCCAAGAACATCGAAGACTCTCATGCAGTGGGAACCAATCTCCTCTTGCAGGATCAGGATCAAGACAGCAAGATTCAACTCAAAAGGAAGCAAAGCCACAATCATACAATGCTACGCTATGCACCTACAAATAATAGTTATCAAGAGAAGGAGAAATTCTATACACAACTGTAATCAGTAATGGACAAGACCCCACCTCAGATGGCGACATCAAAATTCCAATGGGCGACATGAATGCCAAACTGGGAGCAGACAATATAGGAAGAGAACTGATCATGGATCGAGAAGCACTCGGTGAAATGATAAACGAGAATGGAGAACTGTTTGCTGACTTCTGCACCTTTAGTCATTTGGTGATTAGACGCACTGTGTACAAACACAAGGATGTTTACAAGGCAGCGACATGGATTTGATTTCACCAGACACCAGGACACACTAAAAATCACATCGACTTCACCTCAATCTCAAGAAAGTGGAGACGAAGCCTACTGGACACAAGATTAGATGAAGAAGGTGAGCAGATGTACGTTCACATCACTCACTATCTAGTGCAAGGAACCATCACAATCAAGCTAAAGGCCTTCACAGAAGTTGGTGATAAGCAACAGTTCAAGTTCAACAACTACCCAGAAAAAAAACTGAACTGAACTGAAGGACGAAACTACAAAGGACATCTTCACGTCAGTCATAAGGAAAAAATAGGAGACATTAGACAACATCCCTGATGAAACCTGCGTGGAAGAACACTGAAACTCTTTGAAAGAGATGTGGAAAGAAACTTGCATAACCCTGTAAGGAAGGAAGAAGTAGCAAGGCAAGGAACGGATCCCGACGGACACATAGAAGCTGATAGAGCAAGGGGAGGAAGATGGTGAATTAGAAGATGCACCAGTGCAGTGCAGTGTAGGGATAAACAACGAGAAGAGGAACTAAATACAACCTATAAAAACACTACACTGGACAAAGAAGTGAAGAAGAGTGAGTGGAAAGACAAAAGACATTTCTACGACACACTTGCAAGTGAAGCAGAACAGGATGCAGGTAGGAGAGACCTGGCAACATTATATCAAATAATTAGGTTACTATCTGTGAAGAGATCAACACAGCAAAGATGAAACTAATGAAAGATAGTGAAGAAAACGTAGTTACCACTAAAGAGGAGAAACAAAGGAAATAATAGGCTGACCTCTTCAAAACATTCTTGAATCGACCACCAATACCACCTCCAACTCGTCCAGAAATATCACCAGCAGCCTAGTCAAATAGCTATTAGTTAATACAAACCCTCCGACAAAAGCAGGAATGAAGTCTTGAACGCCACAAAGTTGCTGAAATCCAGAAAAGCGGCAGGACCAGATGGGATTCCGACAGAAGCACTGACAACAGACGCAGAGACAACATCGGACATGCTCACAACACTCCACTATTGCACAAGGTTTGGAAGGAGGGAAGGAAAGGTACCCGCAGACTGGAAGAAGGGGTACCTGGTCAAACTCCCAACAAAGGGTGACCTAAGCCCAAGCAAAATATTAAGCTGCATCATTCTGGAGAAACTAAAAAATTCCATGGATTCAAAATTACTATCGGAACAGGCTGGCTGGTTGACTGGCTGTGTTCAGGAAGTACAAATCATATGCAGATCAAATTGCAAGGCTACGCCTCATCTCATCATAGAATAGAGCATAGAGTGGCAGTCAACTGGATGTCTACCTCAACTTCATCAATTTTGAAAAGGCCTACGACAGCGTCAAACGAGAAGTAATTTGGCAGGCAGCTGCTTCAACACTACGGTTTTAGTGCCTGCACAAACCTTTACCAACTTCATTCAACAGCTATATGCTATATGATGGTACGTGCCAAGTGACTGACAATGGAAAGATCAGCTCAGTGACGCATTTGAAGTGAAGACAGGAGTAAGAGAAGGTTGCCGCCTACTATCACCAATCATCTTCCTGATTGTGGTCGACTCGACTGGATCATGCAGCAAACTGTGAGGAGCGAGGATATTGGCATACGCTGGTTGGACAGATGAAAAAGACTCCAGAAGAAGATTTGGATTTCACCGCCGATGATGATTTATGTCTAATGACTTGTCGCACAAACTCGAAGATCTACAGATAAAAACCAACAAGTTGGCAGAGGAGGCAGGGCAGCGAAAGAAGACGGGACTTCAAGTGGATGTAGAGAAGACAGAGGTGATGAAGATACCCAACTGACAACAACGACAACAAGCACCAATAACCATCAACGGGAGAAATCTAAACGAAGTAGTCTCTTTCACCTACCTACCTAGGCAGGCGGTGGCAAAGATGAGGACGTCAAAGCCAGAATCATAAAAGCAAGACAGGTCTTCATCAATCTGAAACCAGTGTGGAGATCTACTGCACTCAGCACAAAGAACAAGATCAGGATTTTCAACACTAATGTCAAGTCAGTGCTTTTATATGGTTCAGAAACTTGTCGCGTCACGAAAAGCATTTCCAACAAACTACAGACATTCGTCAACAAATGCCGCCGACGCTCACTCCATACTGAAGATCAGATAGCCAGAAAAATAGGAATAAGCAACAAGGAACTCTCTCTGGCTGGGCAACGAACCAACCATGAACCCATCCCCAACAAATATGCACAGGAAAGTTGAGATGGATTGGATAAGGCACAAACTGAGAAGACCGACTAGAGACATCACGTGCCAGGTCAGGCCGTCGAGTGGAACCCAAAAGGGAAACGATGAGTTAGGCGTCCGAGGCGAGTGCGACATGGAGGAGATCATGTGAGGAAGAATTGAAAGCTTGTGGGCAGTCGTGGAGCCAGGTTGAAAAGACTGCAGAGAACAAAGTGCAACGGAGACGTGCTACTGAAGCCCTATGTTCCACTAGGAACCCAAGGGACAAACAGTAATAATAATAATAATAATAATAATAATAATAATAATAATAATAATAATAATAATAATAACTTCACTACAACAACTGTCTAGAAGATAACAAATATTATAAAGTTAAACGTCACAGATACAGCGAAAAATAAGTTCACTAGTTTCCCAAACCAAAACAGAAGCCCTGTAGTAGTGGCTAGAAGCCAGACGTGTAAAGCGCAACAAAATTGCAAGGTGTTTCAACAATCGCTACATGTTCTAAACTTCTCAGTTGGTAGCCTGGAGAAAAACATGTGAGAATTTTTATCAAAATAACTAAGTCCATTGGGCTGTATGGTCAAACACGAATCCTTCTTTTCCAGGTATCTCAAGAAGAAATCTCCTTCTACAGTGTGGGTGGCCGAGAAGTCTCAACTGTCTTCAAAATTCTGTCAGCACTGAAGTCGCCTCAGATAACTGTACATCTTCAACATCACTACCTTCTAATCTGCATCCACGTCTCTTGATCAACATTCCTACATCATTAATTGCTCCCACTTCGGCAGCTCTCTGCAACAATCTGATTTTACGGAACAGCACTAATGGTCTCCTAAAAACCACGATCCAAAACACATATCAGAGCTTTCAAATGCCCGTATCCTCCATCAAATCAGCTTACAACCTTCAATACCCGCAACTTCATCATGTATGCTGTGTTCGTGATACACGCATACAAGATCCTAGTGTGGTTATTCAACTGACGTCACCTGATAAATCCGCAAAATTCGCACTCAGAGTTCCCAGAAATTCAACGATTCTTAGTGACACGGCTAAAAGTCAATCAGTACAATGACGCATACGCATTCACTCTTTGATGCCATTTGAAGCTTCATCTTTACACTGTTTATTCTGTCATACATTTATGTCTACTTAGATATCGGTCTTTTCCTATCCACTCATTTCTTGAACGCTACTGTGAAATGTGACGTGAACTTCTGTGCGAGGCTTCACGTTCATTTTGTCTGCCTGTCTTCTTGAGATTCGATGGTTATTTCTCGCGGTCTTGCAGATATAGGTATAGTAATAAGTGCTACGGCAGAAAGTTCACTGCTCGACTGGATCCCAGTTGATAGTTATTCATGTGCTATTTGAATGGATAAACAGAAGGGTGCAGCTTGCCATTGTCTCATTATAATCTGTGCTAACTCACCAACTGACAGCAGTTTGGATGAAGTGAAAGATGAGTCCTACCGAAAACTGTCTAGCCTTCCACTGAAGGCTAAACGTTCAGACGTGGCTGTTGTAGGACGTGATTTCAATGCACATGTTTGTAGGCTGTGTCAGGCAGGAAGGCACTTAGGTGGCACCTTCGGAATCCCAGCTGAATGGACAGATAATGGCGACCATCTTCTACAGCTGTAATCAGACAACTGTCTTTTTCTGACCAGCCCAAACTTCGGGCATAGAAAGAGACATTTTCTGACGTAGCGCCCACCGAGCTCAACTCACCAGTGGACACAATTACCATTGGATGTGGACGATCAAAGATTCCCACTCCTTCTGAAGAACGTGTTCCTTTGGATAGTGACCGTGCTTTTATTCGAGCAGGTGTACGTCTGTGTCTAGATGGATGTAGAAAAACTACAGAAAGAAGAACATTGCGAGTGTAGGTAAACAGTGAGAGGACTAAGACCGCTTTCAGTGAGAAACTGGCTCGACAGTTATCAGAACATAACATCACTCATCCATAATAAGTCTGGAACCATCTCCAGTCTGCTGCACATACAGCGTCAACGACCGTAGCTCACCGTCAGAATGTGGTTAGAAAAGGTCGGTCGATGTCAGCACCTTCTAAATTAATGGATACAAGCGAACATATCCCTGCATGCACCGAGCACAATAAGATACGGAAGCAGCTCCACTGTAAACTGATAAGCAGTTTAGGCAATAATCACGATCAGTAGTGGGGAGCCAAGGCTAAGGAGATAGAAAAGGCAGTTGTGATAGGTAACACCAGATAGTTATTAGGAAATGGGGGAGAATACTTGTAGCACAGGTGGATGATCTTGGTTGTATTGCTTCCTCCAAGCGGAGTGATTTAATTGTGAAGCTTTCATTGTCTTTTCACACGAAATCATCAGCACTAGCTCAGAGAATGCAACATAACCAAGAACAGTCATTTAGACCTATTAAAGAAACTAGGGCGAAAAGGTCAGTGGTTATGGAGGAGATATAGTGGAGAAGGATAGATCTGTGATTCATTCGCAGGGAAGGCGACTGAACGATGGACGAAACACGTCGAGGAATAGTTCAACTGGCCTCCAACTACTACATCCCTGCACGTTATCCAGTTGTATTCTGAATGGAACATTCATATAGAGCCTTCAACATACATAGACGTCGAGAAGGCTGTAGGTATATTGAGACGAGGAAGAGCAGCAGAGCCAGGAGGATCAGTTCCAGAAATATTTAAGGACGGTGGTAGAGAATTATTGACTATCTAAAGAGCTAACTAGTGTACGGAAATCAGAAATGATCGCCTCTGACTAGTCCCAGTCACTGATTTTCTCAGTCTTCAAGAAAGGAGAAAGGCCTCTTCTGCCAGCCGCAGGGGAATTGACCTGACAAACACAATGTCTAAGATTCTGGGCTTTACAATCATTAAACGTTTGAGTGGGGCTCGGAAATAGCATATCTGAGAAGCTAGGCTGGTTTCAGACGTGTTCGTGGGTGTATCAACCAGATATTCACACTCCGCCAGATTCTGGAATACAGGCACACTTACCGATACGTGACACTGAGTATATTTCTCGATCTGAAGACTGCACTCAAATCAGTCAGTCGACAAGTTTCATGGCAGTGTCTCTCACTGAAATGAGTACCGAGTGAGTACATCACTCCGTTGAAGGCTCTCTACTCGAATACTCGTGGAGGTGTTAAATCCTAAGCTGCGTGGTCACGTAAGTTGTGTACATCAAGTGGTGTCCGTCAAGGATGTCCATTCATATTCAATAGAGGTCTTCCTCTCTTCGTCTCACTTCACAGGGAATGATCATATCACAAGAGCACCCAGGGTGGAGCCAGAGCACGCAAATAGCCTAATCCTGTTAGGTGAAGATGATGATAACATCCAGAGTCTTTTGGACACACTGAGTGGTTATTCGAGAATGTTTGGGTTGCGGTTCCCGCCACCTAAATCGGAACTGTTGCTCTAGGACTGAGCTAAATCGCGATCCTGTCTAACAGTTGGGAATTATGTGGTTGGGTTTCTAGATCACTTCACTTACCTGGGAAGTCAGACTCACCAAGGTGGGTGGGTCAGTGGTCGACGAAATCTCCATACGGATACCAAAGGCTTATTCGGCTTTCGTCAACTTACGCCATCTATGGTGCCCCCATGATATCTGCTTGCCTATTAAGGGTCAAATGTACAGCGCTGCAGTTCACACTGTTCTACTATATAGCCGTAGAACATGACGACTGAACGTAGAGGATATGAGAAGACTTCAGTTTTTAGACTCTCCCTGTATTCGTAGCATAAACCATGTGTCTTGGTGCCACCGCGTCGGTAGATCAGAAGTTAGGTTTAAAGTTTCAGGGAGAAGAGAAAGGTTAGTTGGAGAGGTTATGACAGCACTAGCCCAGGTGGCTGGGACATGTGTTACGCATGCCTAGTCACCGTCTGACTAGTTGTGTAATTTTAGCTGAAGTAGGTGTAAGCCGGGGAAAGGTTCGGGGTGGCCACACTAAACATGGCATCATCGCATGAAGTCTTTGACTGTTGGTGCGAGTCATGTACAGGAATGTAAAACTTGCGGTTAGGGTTCGTGGGATAATAGAAACCAGTGGTTGTAGACTGTAAGTGACATGATTCAGAATCGATGTCAATGGAGCAGATGTATTCACAGATTATCTTCATCTGGATCGCCCTACTCAACTCAGTACTTTTTATTCCTTCTTCCTCTCTTTTACTGCTTTTGACCGAAACTTCTCTATATCTCCATCTTTCATCTATGTGCTTTTTGCTTGATATGCTGATGTTAGGTGTGTAACTTGAACTGTTATGCAGTAATATCTGATCCTATGTCGATATTGATGATGACGTGTTTTACAATAAGCTTCAACAACATATTAGTTCTGATATAGTTTATGCTACATTTGTGACACATTCCACATTCCTGGATACTTATCACTGACAGATAAACACATTTCATTTATTGCAAAGTATTATCCAGCATTGACTCACGCTTCATCGTTGATCGATACACCGTATATATTGTGTTGTTCTTCAATTACCGGCACAGTGAACGAGTGATAACGAATCATTGGGGTTGAATGAACAGTCTTTTGAATACGGGCTTTCTTTTTTTCAATCTCTAAACGACGATATCGAGCTTTTATGTGTAAACAGTAAAAGAGAAATAAGGAGAAATCAAATACATTGCACCACTAGCACACAAGTATAACAACATTTAACTATGAGATTAATGGGTAAGCAGTTTCACAGTTGTAATAACTGCGAACATTTTTCGCAATATAATTCATATTAGCATCATCGACTTGGTCTGCAGCAGATTGGAACATCGCTTTACCTACCGAAGTCTGGGAAACTAGGTTACGTTCTCAGCTCTTAAACAGTGTCGTTTATAGCCTAGTATACCAATGAGCATGTAGTTGCTTAGTCAAACTTCCCGTACATATATGATTCAAATGTGGTTATTTAACAGCAGCTCCCATGTGTTAACTTTTAGTTGTGCAAATTAGGAAATTCTCGGCACCGATAAAAAGTGTAACAATAAAACAACATAACAATAGTATGTCAAACCAATAGTATTCAGTTGTCACACGCACACACAAAATTCTCCGAAACCGTAACTGCTACAGTACACAGTCCCAAACTGAAATATAGTAACGATTCAGTACTTCGTAATTTTTAGTAGTGTTTTCATGAATCTAATCAGTGATAAAAGAAATTTCTTATCTATTTTTATAAAGTATGAAATGAAAAATCGTTACAATAAATAATAGGCAACTAAAACTTACCCAAAGAACGACGATTAATTTCCTCTGTAATCTTTGCTTCAGCCAACAGTTCTTCTTGCGTAAGACGTCGAACTTCGGGAAGATTTTTACGTTGTGCAATCTCTGATAACAAGACTTTCCGACGGATGGCTGTATTATCAGCACCTACTATACGTCTACGTGCTGTTTCCGCTTGGTGGTCAGCAGTCGCTTGCGTAGTGCTCGCACGTAATTTTGGTCGTTCTGGAATAATGAAAGATATACTGTATAGTCAGATGCTTAGTGATGACAAATAACTAAATACCGCGTGGTGATGGAACGTGAAATGGAAACTTGGGCCACCATGGATTCGAACAAGCGTTCACTGGGTTTCCTACCTGGTACTCTACCAAATAAGCTACGAGACCTGTTGCGACAACAATTTAGTACTAATGACAGGATTTAAAATCTTTGAAAAATAAATATTCAATACTTATACGATAATAAATTTCAGAAGAGAGGCAGACAGACCGAATCAACGTACAGCCTTACATAAAAGTGCCAAGCTTCAAGTTGCCACACTTCACATGACTATGAAAAGAGAAAGTACATGGCAAAGATTACTATCAAAGTAGACAAAGGTAAAAAGGAGGAGAAGGAATTTAAAAATTAAAGCTAGTCAACAGATTCAAGCTTCAGAAGACATAAAAGAATCCAATCGTCTCGGCGACTACATCAAGTAGCCCATACCTCCATACACATCTCAGAGCAACACTCAAAGGATATTGACTAGTGTCACTTCGTAGCCTGGCAACCCAGAAACCTCTTTCAACGTTATCCAACCTCCCGTAACACTGCGCCTCGAGGCAGCCGCTGTCTATGCTTGCGAAGTGCATAGCACTTAAGTCAACAAATGCATCCACTGCATCATCATCCAAGCTTACTACACGTCGCCACACTTCAGACCTTGCTCACATGGAAACTCAAATATACTCCAGCAACGCTCCAAAGACACTTAAGGCGACAACACTGCAACCGCTTTATGTCTTCTTCTTTCAACGATCATGTCTCACAGCCACACAAAACGACGAAACGAACTGCAGTGGAATAATAGCAAAAGCTGCCACACGTAATGTTAAGAGTTCAAATGACAAACAAAACTTCTGTGACCAGAAACCATCTGAAAAACACTCAAGGCGACAACCTTGTAACCGCTTCACATCTTTTACTTTCAACGGTCATGTCTCACGGTCTTCAAACAGGACAAAACGAAATGCAGCGGACTACACTTGTCCCTTATTGGGTATTCGGATACCTCACCAGCGCTACAGATGACGCAGGTTGGCAAATGCCAAACGAAACTTCTGTGTCCGAGATGGGAGTTACTCAGCGATCAGTCCATTCCGGCTGATACAACTCCCCAAGTAAGTGAAGCAGTCAACACATTCCAACACTTCATTACCTATCGTTAAACTGAGAGTAGTTGAGAACCAGCTAATGCCTACAGGAGTAGCGGCAGTGGAGGTAAGTAACTGGCAAGAACAAATCAACAACCTTCAGGAAGAGATAGCTGCCCTGCGAATGAGCATCAACAACCAGAGTAAATGCTTCGCATGTGAGAAACCGGGACATTGGCGAAGGAATTGTCCGGAGAGGCGAAAAAGAAAACGTTTTGAACGATATAATATGAGTTCTGTTTTTCCGACTAGACTAGATATCGTAGGAGCCATAGATCGAGGCGCAGTGTATGCTGGATTGCGAATAAATGGTCGGGATATCGTGTGTCTCATAGATACAGGGGCGGCAGTCTCTCTAATAGATAAGAGGCAGTCTCACAACACAAGACCATGTGTGCTAACGGTTCATACGGTTGGGGGACATGCACTGGATATTGCAGGCTTGTCAGATTGCGTCGTTGAGACCGGAAGCCGGAAAATTAGATTCCCATTTATTGTGACCACGCACCTACAACGCCCAATCCCAGGTGCCGGTTTTCTGGGAGAAGTGGGTGCAGTGATTAACACGAGAACAGGAATAGTGACAACGAAGTACGGGTCGTTCAACACGCATGAAAACAGCGAGGTAGCAGAGATTGAAGTACCAAAAGAACCGTACCCAAAAACGCCAAACATCATGAAGGTGGTTAAGAAATACGACAGATTGTTTACAGGAGATGGAGACCCCTATGGTTACTGTGACAAGGTTCAGCATGACATCCCAGTGGCCAGTCAGGCAACGACAACATTCATCACACGGCGAATACCATGTCACTTGGAACAAGAAGTTGGGTGCCAGATTCAGGAAATGCTAAATGAAGGCATTATTGAAGAGGCTGATAGCCCATACAGTTTTCCAGTACTTTTATTAAGAAAGTCAAATGGGAAATATAGGTTCTGTGTCGACTTCCGGGAGTTAAAAAGCATAACGCAACTGAAGCCATGTGCCATGCCGATGATAGCTGAGACACTGGATAGTTTGCAGAATGCAAAAGTATTTACGGTTCTGAACCTCTGCTCGGGCTACTGGCAGCTACCAACAAAAGACAGCGATAAAGAGAAAATAGTATTTATTGTGGGCAAGAAGAAATACCAATTCAAGCTAATGCCATTTTGTCTTGCAGGTGAGCCCTTTACATTTAGACGGTTGATGATGTTGTTGCTGAAGAATTTAGAGAACATAGAGGTGTACGGCTATGACCTGGTGGTGTACAGTCAGACGGAGGCAGAACATTTAGAACACTTTCAAGCTGCTTTGAGACGCGTCGATGAGTTTGGACTCCGCATCAATAAAACAAAATCTCAGGTAGCAAAGAAGAGTGTTACGTTGCTGGGACACAAAGTTGGAAACGGCGAAATGAAACCACTACCTGAGAAAATTCTGACGGTCAGAACTATTCCAGTAACGAATTCCAAGAAGAAACTGCGACAGTTCTTGGGTAGGGCAGTATTCCACAGTCGGTTCCTCAAAAATTTCAATGAGATAGCAGCACCTTTATATAAGCTACTTGGCAACCCCAAAGTTGTGTGGACGGAGGAGGCACAAAAAACATTTGATCACATCAAAGAACTCCTAAATGACCAGGAGATGACGTTAAAACTACCAATACCTGGGAAGCCATCTGTCGCGTCCACTGATGCAAGTGATTATGGAATAGGCGCAGTCGTGAGACAGACTGAAGGAGTAGTGGAGTACGCCAGCCGTGTTCTAACACCCGTAGAACAGAAATATTCTACAGTGGAAAAAGAATATCTGGCGATAGTTTGGGCGCTGGAGGAGTGGAGATCGTACCTCCTCGGTCAACGATTCCATATTGAAACGGATCATAAACCTCTACAGTGGCTTAATACAGCGGGAGACCCCAGAAGAAAATTATCACGTTGGGTGTTACGACTGCAAGAATATGACTTTACCATCGGCCATGTGGCAGGGAAAGAAAACTGGTTGGCAGACTTCTTATCAAGATCTGACGAATAAAATGAGCTACCTGAGATAGCATACGGAGTACATGCAGTGGAATGGAACCCGTTAAAACTTATTCGCCTTCAGAAGTCGGACCCAACAATGAAAGAAGTGATGAAACCCATAACTGAAGGAACAGAGACACAAACGTCTGTGGAACTTAAAGAATTGAGAACGTTGTTGATGCAGAAACAGAGCCTACGGATGAGTACTTATGGAATGCTGACGTGGCGAGAAAACGACGGAAGCTGGTTGGCAGTGATTCCGAAATGTCTACGCGACAAAATGATACAAGAATGCCACCAGTTAACTCATACAGGTGTCTCACGGACACCTGACCTTCTCAGATAAAGTGCGTACTGGCCAGGTATGAGAGATGTTGCCAAACACGTGCTGGGTTGTCCTCACTGTCAACTGATGAAAGGTGACCGGTATGTACGGCCGCCGCTTCAGTCGATCCCAGTAGCAGTAGTTGGTGACCTGTGGTTTGTGGACGTAATGGGACCATTTCCGCAGACATCTAGTGGCAACCAATACCTGTTGGTGATGACGGAGCATGCTACACGATAGGTAGACGCTGTCGCGATTCCTGACCAACGCACGAAGACAGTGACCGCAGCGGTGATGCGGCATATTGTCGCAGATTACGGTGTGCCGAAGATGATACTGACCGACCAAGGTCCTTGTTTTGAGAGTGAAGAATTTAAATCCTGTTTGGAGCAGCTTGATATCAAGAGGATAAGAACGACGCCGTACCACCCGCAGACTAACGGTTTGACAGAACGGAATAACCATACACTGAAGGAGTGGCTAGCTTCGAAAGGAGGAAATTGGGAGACGGAACTGCCGTTAGTATTATTAGTTCACCGTACCTCGGTTCAAGGAACAACCAAGAAGTCAGCGTTCCAGTCAATGTATGGCAGGAAACCACGGCTCCCGATACATAGTAAGACCTAGCCCTAAAAACAGCCTTGGAACATGACAAGATTGAGAGAGGAGCGGAAACAGGCTATCAGGAATGTGGAACGAAAGCAGAAGGCCGATGCTGAAAAATCTGAGCAGAGAGAAGGAAGTAAATGGAAACCATTTGAGGTCGGAGATCAGGTGAAATGTAAAGAACGATGATATACGTCAGGAGGTGAGTATGGCAGAAGGAAACTACTTCCGAAGTGGGAAGGATTATACATCATTACCGAGAGACGCGGTTCAATTTATACCATCAAACAAGGGAACAAAGAGAAAAGAGTAAACACCAGCCTACCTCAAAAATAGAAGCAGTGGGAAAAAGACGAAACAGCGAGTGAAAACCAAGAGAAGACAGCACCAAGACGATCATCACGGTTGCAAGCCCGGAATTTTGAGGGGGGAGGGGGGGACGAGTGTAGTGGGCGTTCTAGACAACAACGGATATAAGTAGTATATATCGAAAGGGTGGCAGGAATCATAGAGAATTACCAGCAATGGGTAAGGTTTCTGCCAAGAGCAAAGCAAGGGACAACACAGGCGTATTACAGTGGATGCTGCTGATAAGAGTGTATGAAGAGTAGGTCACGAGCAAATCAAGAGAGGAACGGAGGAGGAAACGAAGACATTTGCAAATGACTGGGTTAGTGCAAGGTGTACCATATGTAACGACTACCATTCCAATTGTTGTTAATAAATATTCTCTCGTCGAGTTTCTCTTCTGATTCTTCACTACCTCTGACTCCTATACACCACTTAGTGCCTTTATCATTTTAATTAGCAGAGTGGTACCTCCATCCATAAAAGCTTCGGTTGGCCTTTTCGACTGGCTCAGCTCAGCT